GCTCTCTGCTTAAAACCTGTCATCTACACGCTAAAATCTCTCTGCTGTTGTTTGTTGACATAATAGCTTTCGTAAGTTGTAATAAAAAGTTATAAAGGCTCTGTCGAAAAATCTTTTTGCTAAGTTGCTTTGAAATTTCTTTTTTCAAAACCAGTTGCGCGATATAATTACGCGACGTTGCGCCATGCGATTTCCCGTCAAAAAATCTCTACTTTCCCCTTCCCCAAGAGTCCATGCGGACTACTTTCCACTACCCGGAAAGTCCGTACGGACGGACGTACGCTGACGTCATAACCAAAATTTTTCGGATGGGTAGTTTATCTTAGTTATGGTGCTCCGCTCGCGCGCTTCGCGCGCGCAAGGAGCTCCGCTATAATGAGCCCGCGATTTACCTGAGTATGGGTTTCATAGCAACTTTCCTTCATGTAAAGCATCCTTTTGTGTCAAATTGACTGACCCGATATACGTATTATTCGTAACATAAAAATGGGAGATTTCCTTGTTACCCGGCTGATGACGAGCACTTTTAGAGAATACTACGCCAATCTCTTCTCTATCATTTAATTTGATTGATTTTAACAAAGCACAGTAACTATAAGAAGGCAGACAATGCTAGTTGAGAGCGTGTTTAATAGGCGACATATTTATCATTATTATTATTTAGTTATTCTGTAGCCTGCCTAGCAAGCGTTTCCAGTCGAGTTATAGCGCGAAATTTAGAGCGGGAGCTAAAAAAAACTTTTTTTTTTGCTCTCGTCCCAACTTTCTCGACGAACTCGCGCGGAAACGCTTTCTATGCAGGCTAGTTATTCTTATTTTTTTGTAATATTTTATTTATTTGTTCTCTATACATAATGCGATATATTTTTAGAACGTAAAGACGGAACCCAATTTTCTAAACTCAATCATATAATATTCTTGTGATGTTCAATTTTATTTTAGTTATTTACTTTTTCTTTCTTCCTACACACTAGCATTGTATTTTTAGCTTGCAAATTTTTAATGAAATTACGTCATTTTTCTCTTTTTAGGAGCGAGACCTTATTCTATATCTAACATCGATATAAGGAGCCCCTGATAAGCGCGATTATACTCATTAGCTGTCTTCTCATTGGCTAAGAGCCTACAGCTAATTTTGGAAATCAGTGCAACCTACAGATAAGTTAGTTATCTACTAGCAGATAACTGACTTCTATGTAGGTTGCACGCGAAATGCATGGTTTCCAATAGCAATATCAGAAGACCAATTCCGATGTATTCACTTCATTTTTGAGCCTCAAGATGATTTCTTTTGTTTTATTCCTCCAAGCCTCCGAGCCAAGTGTGAACTTTACGATTAAACTTTCTCAAAGCCGGTTTCCGGTTTCTGCTGGTTAGGTGGTGACTTACGACGTGCGCTTTCTCTCTTGAGCGTACCTCGCGTCTTCGGCGCTCACGCAGTCGACTAGTGTAAAGTCTACTTGCGACGGTGTGTTTGTCACTATTTTCTTCAAAACAATCTATATAATAAAACTAGGGGTACCTTCCGGCAAGTGCCAACGAGGCGAATGCGTTTGTCTTTTGTGGAATGTGCCTATTCAGATCTTCGCGACATATTTTTTTTTCACAATTTTAGAGGTTTAAAATGGATTCCGCTTTAGAAAAGGATGGCACCTTACCTGAGATCAGGCCCAATTTGAGCGGTTCTCATACATTCTCTCTAACGGCTACCGCTATCTCTTTTCGTTTCGCCATGCCCACCGGAATCCCATTAACAAAGCGAAACGAAAATAGAGCCTGATCTTAGGTTAAGTTTTCAGGTATGTGGTGGCGCTTGTGTTATAAGAATATTGTGTACAAGCATGAAAACGCTTTGTAAGGGTTTAGTTGAAGTGATTTTGTCTTAGACAAGCGATTGTGAGGTCAAGAAAAGTGGATTCTACGTCTGTTTTAGTCGGGCATCTCGCTATGAGCCTCATAGTTTTAGAGACTGAAAGGTCATTATTTCTGTGCTTTTAAGTGTTGTTCACTTCGTTACAAATCAGTCGCTTTTGCCAAGAGCAACTTTTAATGTGTTGCCAGCGATTAATTCGTCCGTTTTAAGCCCTAACTAGCGACTTTCAACTGCTTTTTATTGACCTCAAGGGTCAAATTGTTAAAACGCACTTGAAATTTCTGGAGGTACCTTTTATCAAATCCAGACAGATATATATACATATTTTTTAAAAAAGTTAAACCCTAACCCTCAGTTCCTCTTCTGTTCCGCCAAGATTAGCTTATGCTACCTGTGCGACAGTGTAATTAATTAAGTTTGTTCGCACAATAAAGTTGTGTTTTGTTATATCAATCTTTAATTTTACGTTGAACCATTCGATTACATATTTATGGCAGACGGCAAAGTTACGGTAAAGGGTTTGAACTTTTTTTAAGCACAAAACTGAGCCACCAAATAAAAATACTTTACGACAAACAAAAATGGTTAACGCTATTCCACAAATTTATTCTTGAGAAATAGCTCGTTATTCACATTGTTCATTCTGAAGTGATAGATTTAATGTAATGTAATGTCGTGGGTTAGAGGACAACAAAACGCATGCTCTTTACATATTTTAAACATGTTATCAGTAAGCTCGGACTTCACACAAGGCACCACTGGCAGCCGCTATCACTCCATTTATGAGGTTACTGTAACCCACCCACAGCGTATGTAATTAAGTAATGATCCGGGTAAGGTGGATAGCAATTTCTTTTGTTATGCGGTAACGGTGCTTTCCCCACATAGGAATGTTCTCATTTTTACACAGAGAATGAATAATGCACCTATCAACGTAAACCCCGTGCGGGGGGGGGGGGGGGGGGGGGNTTTGACAAATTTTAAAATTTTTTGATCAAATTCCCCAGGGTGGGAAACGAAAGGTCAATGAAAAGTGTCAAAAAAGCCCCCACCCCAGGGGAAAAAATCTAAACAAACAATACTATAATACTATATAAAACGAATAAAAGAACATTTCAAAAGTACGTTCTTACTACTTTTATTTAAGGTTAACGTAAGCTCCGTTAAGTTATTCGCTGTAATTAAGTATTTTCTCTCTCCACTAGCATCTCTTATCTTGAACAACAAATCACTCCAGGAAGATTGACCGTGTTATTATAATATTAATGAAACGTAAAATGCTTTATAACACACAGGAAAAAATAACCGATTCCCATTTTTGATATTTTAGGTTATTTAAAGAATACCCATAAAAATCCCAAATTTGGCAAAGTGAGACAAGTCCCAACCATGGAATTCCCAACCAAGTTCCCTGATTGGGACTTGTCTCACTCTTCCAAATTTGGGATTTTTGTGGGTATCCTTTAAATACCCTAAAATATCCAAAAATGGGAATCCGTTATTTTTTCCTGTGACATCTGCTCAACAGGTCGGATCAGTGACCCGTAAAAAATCATCTGACTTTCATGGTGGAATTCGATTTCAATCGAGTTTTACAATCAGATGGGAACTTGAAGATAAAAACTTTTTCAAAATAGACATTATCTGTTTAGATGACAGTTTAAAGTATCGGATTATGGCGATTAAAACAAATGAAAACTTCATACCTTTCTCCAACAGCGTGACTTTCAGAAAACCTCGAGGGATGGACTTGGTAACCGCTTCTGAATTGATACCAGGCTTCTGTCGGTCAAAGTCAAATGTCCCGACCCCGGGGTCGCTTCGCACGATCAAAAGCCCGACAGGGGGATAGTCTCAGGCATCAAATCCCCGCCCCTTGCCCGCACTCCCCCCGACGGGATTTACATTGATAGGTGCATAAACCTACATGAAGGCCGTTTACGCAATAAAATTCATTTACACTCCACTTTGAAAGGGTGTTTTTTTGTGTTTAAAGATCTTGACCAATCACAAGAGTTGAAAACAATAGTCAAGAAAAGTTTACAATTTTACATGTTCCCCACATAGCATTTCTTTGTTATTGAAACTGAGACCAGATTTTGTTATATGGAAGACGGTTGGAAAGTAAGGATGAATATATGTACCGCTTTATGAAGTTTTGTTAACTTTTGCCGTTTAAGCCAATCAAAAGTAAGTACAGACAATAGAAAAGTTAGCACCTTTTTTTCATTCCAACATGTTCGTTGCCGTTGTTGCTATCGTTCTTATCTGGACCGTTTCTTAATGATGCGTGATGCTTGAAAGGTAGACCACACCACCGAGGAAAGTTCCCCTACTCTTTTCGAACAGTAGTGTGGGTTCTTTTACGTCCCCTTCAATTTTGACTAATGAAAGAAGGATGGAAGAGACAAGGCCAAAGGCTTAATAACGTCACCGCCCAATAACGCGATCATCTGAACTGAGACAAGATCTCAAATTACAGGCAGCATGATCTCACCAGTTTTTTTTTTTAAGACACTGGTTGTTTGTCCGTCCGCGGTTTGAACTCACGACCTCACGCTTGGCAGGTGCAGACAGGTACTCACCCAACTGAGCTAACAGGTCGGCGGGCAAAATACCATGGCAAATAATACCGACAATCAAATTTTATTCTGGATGAATACCTAAATTGATCCATGTTGGATCAAAAATTGATCCAAAATGTTAATGGTCGACTAATCATCGTGAAAAAATTGTTACCTTTTTCATTGCCAAAGCCAGAAAAAAATGCCTCTTGGTAAGCCAAACGGATTCAGAGTAGTTTGGCTATTTATGTTAAAACAGATGCAATATGAAGGAGAATAAAATTGCAATTATAAAGATTTTATTAGAGACTAACACTAAAAATAGTTCTCCCCATAATCTCCCGTCAAATTTCCTTCAATTTCAACAATTATTCTAAGTAATATATAAGAGGATTATAATTTTATTTCACTGCAATAGTCTTCTAAAAGTACACATTTACGCACTCATCTTCGCCTTTCTCCTCCTGAGAATACAGTTATCACGTTTACCATTCCACTATTGTAGTTACCTTAGACACATTGTACAATTAGGCAGTACCAGCAATCACTGATTCGGTTCCATCTCAAATCAAATAAGTTAAGGAGGACTTGACTGCGAGAGCCTGGGAAAGAGATGCAGCACCAGAATTACCAATACTGTTCCTACGCAAATCCAAATAAGTTACGGAGGAGTTGACTACGAGAGCCTGGGAAAGAGACGCAGCACCTGAATTGCTAATTCTGTTCCAACTTAAATCCAAATTAGTTAGGGAGGCGTTGACTACGAGAGCCTGGGAAAGAGAAGCAGCACCACTTTCACCGATATGGTTCCCACTCAAATTCACATTAGTTAAGGAGGCGTTGACTACGAGAGCCTGGGAAAGAGATGAAGCACCAGACTCACCAATACTGTTCCAACTCAAATCCAGATTCGCTAAGGAGGAGTTGACTGCAAGAGTCTGGGAAAGAGACGCAGCACCACTTTCACCAATACTGTTCCCACGCAAATGTAAATTAGTTAAGGAGGAGTTGACTGCAAGAGCCTGGGAAAGAGACGCAGCACCTGAATTGCTAATTCTGTTCCAACTTAAATCCAAATTCGTTAGGGAGGCGTTGACTACGAGAGCCTGGGAAAGAGAAGCAGCACCACTTTCACCGATATGGTTCCCACTCAAATTCAGATTAGTTAAGGAGGCGTTGACTACGAGAGCCTGGGAAAGAGACGTAGCACCAGTTTTACGAATACTGTTCCAACTCAAATCCAGATTCGTTAAGGAGGAGTTGACTGCAAGAGCCTGGGAAAGAGACGCGGCACCACTTTCACCAATGCTGCTCCCACGCAAATGTAAACTAGTTAAGGAGGAGTTGACTGCAAGAGCCTGGGTAAGAGATGCAGCACCAGTAATACCAATGCTATTTCTACTCAAATCCAAATTGGTTAAGGAGGCGTTGAGTGCGAGAGCCTGGGAAAGAGATGCAGCACCAGATTCACCAACACTGTTCCCACTCAAATACAAATTAGTCAGGGCGGAGTTGTCTGCGAGAGCCTGGGAAAGAGACGCAGTACCTGAATTGCTAATTCTGTTCCAACTTAAATCCAAATTAGTTAGGGAGGCGTTGACTACTAGAGCCTTGGAAAGAGAGGCAGCACAAGATTTACCGATGTAGTTCTCACTCAAATCCAAATTAGTTAAGGAGGCGTTGACTGTGAGAGCCTGAGAAAGAAACGCAGCACCAGTTTTACTAATACTGTTCCCACTCACAACCAACTCAGTTAAGGAGGAGTTGTCTGCGACAGCCTGGAAAAGAGACGCTGCACGAGCATCATCAATCATATTCCCACGCAAATTCAAATAAGTTATTGAAGAGTTGGATGCAAGAACCCGAGAAAGAGACGCAGCCCTAGCATCACTAAAAGGCACAGGAGAATTGTGCAATTTATACTTGATGGAAATATCTAAATGGGTAAAATTAAGGTGCCTCCCGAAGGTGTGAACTAAACTTTCGTACTCTGATAAACAATCGACAGCAAATAGAAAACGTTTTGAAATGTCAAAAGTCTCAAGACTTTTTAAATTAATGTTTTCAGCGATACTTTCTGCGAAAGAGTCTGCGGTTTTCTCACTCGTTGAAGCTAAGATTCCAATCGTAAATAGAAAGACTTGGTATAGTTCATCTTCATGTCTTTGGTCAGTCACTACTGATTTCAAGTCCATATCTCCGTCAATAAACTTGCAAGCAAGATAAAAACCAGAAAAGAACTCTTGAAAGCTCTTATGAAGAAATGCGTAACGCACACGAACTCTCCTCTTACTGCCAGCAGCCTGAAGTGAAAGGAATCCGTACTCGGATAAGACGATGAAGCGACCGCCTGATTTATTTTCTTCAAAGTACAACTCTCTTTTTTGAAGAGACTGTAACGCCATTTCTCCAAGAAGTAATAAGTCTTCTCTATAGACGGTCAAGAGGTCTTCGTTCTCGCTCGATAATCCTTTCTTTTGTTCATATCTTCTTAAAACAAAAAGAACAATCTCAATGTACAATTGGGTTCTTCTCGTTGGAAATATGCCCTCAAAATCCTCACAAATAACACACAGTAAGGCAGTGTTTAAGGGATTTTTTATCAATTCTTGCAGGTCCCCATCCTCATGCCATACCTTTTCTATAAGTTTCCTGGCTAAGTGCTCCTTTCTAACGTTTTTAAAGTATTTATGAATAAAGCATTCTGCATCTTCTTGGGTAAATCCTACAATCTCCCACAGAGTGTCACAGTACTGCCTTGCATTCTTTCCAGCCTCATGACGAGATGTGAAAACAATGTAACAACCTGACAGTTGTTTACCTTCAATAAGGTTATAGAACATCTTGAGGTTACTCGGATCCGCTTCGTCTAGTCCATCGAGAACTAAAAGAACCTTGGACTGATTTTCACGTATGAATTTAAAGAAGCATTCCTTAGCTGCATCATCCATTTCCTCGGGAAGAATTTGATCATCAATAGCTTCCCAGATGTCAGATTTAATTTCGTGACATTTGAGAAGCAGGAGCACTTCAATCTCTGGAAAAGATGGGTCCCATTCGTTCTGCTTAGTTGCCCAATCATACGCCAGCTTTTGACAATACGTAGTTTTTCCCATACCAGGATCTCCTTCGATCAAGACTGTTCGTGGCCTTTGGCATTCTGCGTGCGCCTTAAAGATGGCAGTCATATTGGTTATATCGTTAGTAAGTACTCCTTGAGTTTTTTCTTTGCCCAAGATTTTTAATCTGGTAAAAATATCATTGATATGAAAGCTAAACTCGTCCAACCAAGGGACGGGCAGAAGGCGTCGTTCACGTGTTTTGTAGAGCTGACGGATCTTTTGTATCACATCGGTTGGGTACTGCAAACTTGGACCTAGGAAAAAATAAAAGCCGCATTTAATTTGGTTTGTTTTAAATTATATTCATTAGTTGTTCAATATGTTAGTAAAGGAAGTCAACTTTTGCTGAAAAAATTTCTCACGTCCTCCAAAACTGTTGCCTGCAAGGAAAGCGTTCAAAAGTTAGGGGGGAGAAGTGGTAAAATTGGCGTGGTGAAAAACGCGAAGAGCGAAATTCTTCACCGCCTACTTCTCGTTGAAAAGTTTGGCCTACATATGTATGCGGTAACAAACTTCGCAGTTTTACTTGTATAAACTTACGGAGGAGTGGGTCGTGGGGGAATTCACCTCCATTTTAGGAAAAGCAAAAACAAGTTCCCTCTACATTGGATTAACATTTGTTTTCAATATGGTACACTTAATTATGCCCTCAAGAAATAACCTTTGAAGTACTTGCATATTCAAACTATATTAGACAGTGATATGAACTGTAAAACAATTTTTTCCCGTAAATTTACAAATACATTTATTACAATCTATTAAAGTCTCTAAAGCTGAATACCCCCATGGTGCTCAGTCAGGCCTTCTGTCTGATGACAAGTTCTGTTGTTTGCTTCTGAGGAGCTCTGGGCGTTTGAGTAATCTGTTTAATGAAATGGATGAGAATAAGAATGGAAACTAATAGTATGAAGGGTATGTCAGATGGTTATACTCCTTTTAACGTTCTTTGAAAAAACTCTGGGTGATTTTGACAGAACTAGAGCAATTTAGATAACAGTTTGTTGCTGAATAGCTAAAGGCAATGAATCAAAGAATTACAGCTTGAAGTGGAATCCCGCCTTAAGACCATACAATGCACGACTACATATTATAACCACATTCTTTATACTCAAATGAAAAAAAAACGCTCCTGAGTAGAGTCAACTCTCTCTTATGGACACTTCTATAACACGAGCACCTGGCTAAAAGTGACACCAAGAGTTCGTCCCTACCTTGATTACTCCTTTTAGTTGACTCCCTGTAAACAGACCTCTCTCTAATAATACGGACATGCACATGACTGTAATTATATTTTTCGATTCGACGCTATCACCTTGTTAACACTGGGAGTAGGTAGTTGCTACATTAACAGGCTTAGTAGTTGTATACCTTGGTCATGAAAAGTCTGCTTGGTTAGATCCGAAGGCCCATCAACACCAGGTCCAATGCGACCACTAGCACCACTCGCCGCTCGGGGATCTGCATGAACAAGTCAAGAATTAAATGAGGAGACCTTGAAATACGGCACAATGGAGGCCCCACAAAACATTACACAAAGCTTAATAACGTGATACACTTAAATTCACTTAGTGGCTTAATTACCACAAGATCACTTGAAATCTCCAAGAAAATAACGGTAAAATTAGCCGAAAGAATCTTTATGTTAATAATTGGTATGACCCTTAACGCAGCTTGAAATTCCAAATTTTTCAGGATCAACTGATCCTACACTGTTCTGCCCTGCTTATCCGTGACCTGCTTAATGGGAAGCAACTTAAACAATTCCAAGAGATGGAAGGTGTACGAGAGTATTCCCTCGATAGGTAATTTTGAAGTTACTGACACATAAAACTAACATTTTAAAGGTGCTGGAACGTCTAACGAATTATAAATAAGGTCTTGTATGGAAGCAATTGCTGGATCCGGCGACTTTTCCATAGATACATAAAGTATATTCCCTGTTAACCAAACCACCCTAAATTCGCAGTGTTAAGAGTTTAAAACCTACCAATTGGCAGGGTTGTATCTCCTAACAAGGCCTACTGCATAGCATACCTTTCTCTTTAGAAGCTTCTTCACTTTCCACTTCATTCAGCCTGTCTCTGATGTCGTCTTCTACCTTCTTCCACTGCTTGAGAAGTTCTCTGAAATGTTCCTCATCGAGGAATTCAATTTCCTGGTCTTTAAATTCATCAATGAGATCTTCATAATCAGCTCCACCCAATCGTACTAGTGTGTCACGGATATGCTGCCAGTAGCTACTGAATACAGCATCACTCACAGAGCCCTCCGTGGCATGTTTGGATACGGCGTTCATAAAGTACTTAATGCGCGCAATGTCAGACTCGCGACTGGTGTCTGATGTAAGAGGAGGTGTGTCCCAGCCAGCGGGTGGAGGACTCAGATTACAGATTGTCCTTAGAAGCACAATCAAGAGGGGGATATCAAAGCTTGCAGATGACACTTCAGTGGGTGTGGCGGGGTACAATTTCCTCCAATGAACTGAAGAAAGGACTCCTTTCTTTCGCAGTAACTGTAGTCTGGAGTGCACCGGGTCACTTTTCAACAATTCTCGAAGATTCTCCGGTGGAATAATGCTATCGAATGTATCTCCAAGCACTCGCGACCCTATGCTAATCAGCAGGCGACATAAACGAGAATAATTGGTCTTCCCTTGAGTGGACTTTGAAACTGAAGAGGAGCCTACAACCAACAACAAGAGTCACCATTACATACAGTCCTAATTCTTCACACTGATTAGTTAATATAAACAGTTTCAAAAATAAAACACTACTATTCCAAAATACTGTACAATAGTCAATTACATAACTTGTAGCTAACCAGCGTAGCAGGCGTTTGAAAGTAGTGGCTGGCCTTCGTCGCACGCCCCGTTCTAACTCGCCTATAAGAGACTATAAGAAAGAACTAGGGAAGCGTCTAATACGGTGACCTGACAGGTAACCCAGGCTTTGGGATAGTACCACAGTACGGTTCCAGTAAAATTAGTGTTTGTATGGGATAAAAACACGATCCTAAAATTTGTAAGAAATATTTCCTTTTCCAAACAGATATTTTGGCAAACCAGGGGCACCCAACGACTGTTGTACATTTTTCGAAGTGCATCCACTAATTTCCCTACGATTTTCTGAAGTTTAATTTTTCACATTTTACTCCCGGATTCAAAAATGTGAAGGAGAGGAGGAATCAGAAAAATTCTCACTTTCGTAATACGTCAAACTACACGTAAAATTTTCGGGAAAATAATACTTAAGCCCNCAATGAACTGAAGAAAGGACTCCTTTCTTTCGCAGTAACTGTAGTCTGGAGTGCACCGGGTCACTTTTCAACAATTCTCGAAGATTCTCCGGTGGAATAATGCTATCGAATGTATCTCCAAGCACTCGCGAGCCTATGCTGATCAGCAGGCGACATAGACGAGAATAATTGGTTTTCCCTTGAGTGGACTTTAAAACTGAAGAGGAGCCTACAACCAACAACAAGAGTCACCATTATATACAGTCCTAATTCTTCACACTGATTAGCTAATATAAACAGTTTCAAAAATAAAACACTACTATTCCAAAATACTGTACAATAGTCAATTACATAACTTGTAGCTAACCAGCGTAGCAGGCGTTTGAAAGTAGTGGCTGGTCTTCGTCGCACGCCCCGTTCTAACTCGCCTATAAGAGACTATAAGAAAGAACTACGGAAGCGTCTAATACGGTGACCTGACAGGTAACCCAGGCTTTGGGATAGTACCACAGGACGGTTCCAGTAAAATTAGTGTTTGTATGGGGTAAAAACACGATCCTAAAATTTGTAAGAAATATTTCCTTCTCCAAACAGATATTTTGGCAAACCAGGGGCACCCAACGACTGTTGTACATTTTTCGAAGTGCATCCAATAATTTCCCTACGATTTTCTGAAGTTTAATTTTTCGCATTTTACTCCCGGATTCAAAAATGTGAAGGAGAGAGGAATCAGAAAAATTCTCACTTTCGTAATACCTCAAACTGCACGTAAAATTTTCGGGAAAATAATACTTAAGCCCTTTTACTTTCGAATGGGCTCAAGTTCCCCTAGGATTATCGGGCAGGCACAAATTTTAAAGCCCCGCTTAGAATACATTCCTAGATATCTAAAAGGGCTAAGGATAGCCTTAAAAGTGTTTTCAATGTTTGTAGGAGGAAACCGTCGTTGGGTGCCCCTGAAAGACACTTTTGGTAGCTTTCTAGGCATAATGTGATCCAATAATTTGTACAGTGAAAAGTACGCAAATAGCACGTGTTCTCACAAGCAGCATATTCTTTTTTTCTTTTCCCTCTCTAGAAGTTTAAATGTTCTTGAACTTAATACACGGAGAAAGAGCGAAATCCTAGACCAGTTCGAGACAGACCAAAGCCAACCGTTCTGCCTGAGCGGTATGTATAAGTCATGCAAGTGAACTTAGTTATCGTTCATCCACGCATGCGTAAGGCATGGACTTAGAAAAAAAAACCGATTCAAATAATGCTAACCATTTTAATAAACAAAGAACACTTTCGACCAGCAACACCATTCAAGACTAGTATTACGCTGATTATTATCAAGTCATCGGGGATACCTTCAGGGTCTACAGTTGTCTCCTCCATTCGCTGAGAAGATTTATCGGTGGATGAAAAAATTCTGCGCTTTGTTTCTGAAGACCTCTGGTAATTTAGAGTATCATCTGTTGATAAAAAAGAGTAGATAACAACAGGCTGTTTTGGTAAATGCGGATGCATGGAATAATCACATAAGCCAGTGAACTAGGGACAAAGCATATGATAGACGGATTGGGTCAATATTACTTTACTGTGTTTGCCTACATGTAACGTAAAACTTTGTAATCGCCTTTTTCCAAGATCTCAGCCGGGAGAAAAATGAAGCGGATATTACTCAAAGTTGGTTTTGTTTCTTTATTTTAATTTCTTCTTAGAGTCCACGTTCTATTATTCCTCGTGCAATGTATGAAAAGTGTTTTTTTTTTTTTCATAAAAAAGAAAATTGACATTCATACCGTAAACCCAACAGATCATCTTGTCAATGAAATCCTTTATCTGTTTGGCCCAGTTGTATTTCTTGCCATAGGATTCGCGCAAAGTTTCCGCTTCCTCAAGCCGACTTCTCCTGTCCTTGACCCAGATTGTTTTGATAGCAGAGGTCCAATCTGCCGGTTCCTCTGAGTTCACTACATATGTTGATCCAAAAGGTACACCGCGTAAAGCTTCTCCAAAACCGGAGTTGCGGCTGACAAGCACAGGCAGACCAGCTGACAAGGCCTCCAGCCCTGTCAATCCAAAGCCCTCTGTTCTTGAAGGCATGACAACAAGATCCACTTCTTGAAACAAGCGCCTTAGACTCTCTCGATCTTGAACAAATCCTCTTACTCTCAAGCGACTTGGAGGGACACCACATTCGGTCAACCGTTTTGCTATTTCTTCGTGTTTTCCATCTGGAGCCCCAACAAAGACAAGACGAGTATCTTCTAACTCAGCAACTGCTTTCCCAGCGATGTCAAATCCTTTCAATTCGAAATCCTCTACGTCTCCACGACCAAATACCAAGACACTGTGTTGTTGCCTTTCGTTCAGAGCCTGCTTCACAGCCTCAAATTCTACAAATACTCCTGGAGTTAAGTCAAGGACATTGTCATCTTTTTGGCAGCTGCGAAGATAGGAGCGAAAGGCCTCGCTCAACTTAGGACCAACCCCAACAACATGATCTGCCATTTCACACAGTTCTACTTCGATCTTGTGCTTTTCCTCGCCTTTTGAAATTGGATCTGAATAGTTTTTGAACATTCCAAGTTCCTCTGGATCTGTGTGCACCACTTGAACCCATTTGCACCTTTTAGATCTTTTAATGATTTGTGCCTGTTTACCGAGTTTAACTCCATGACCTACGATAATGTCGATTTGCAAATCTTCAGGCGGAAAGCAAAGCCAGTCCAGTTGCTCAAAGCCAGACAGGGGGGTTGCTTCAACGATCTTTACGTTATACCTCAGGGCTAACTTCTTGTCCTCTTTACTACATTGCGGTAAAAAGACAGTGATTTCCACTTCAGGGTATTTGGCCAACTGAATGGCTAACTCTCTGTTGATGGTGGAAAGTCCCCCTTTGCTTGATCCCCATTCAGAAGCCAAAATAGTGACTTGCACTTTGCGGGAATCATCTACTCTGCAATCCCGTGACTGAGGTTCCCGTAAAGAAGATGCCATACATCAAAGTTGTCATACATCTTTAATAAAAAGTAAACACAGAGAGTCACTTATGATTATCTGGGAATGCAAGGGTACCCTCAGGTAATGTAAAAGCTTTTGGTTTGTTAAAAACGTTTCTGGTTCAACAGGCTGAGTTATTCCAAAAGGTTTATCCGCTGAGCATGCTGATATTGATTCCGTTTGTTTGAATGACTTGAATCTGTTGGTAGTTGTAGTTATCACATTCACCTCTGCATTCCTGCATGGGGAATGAACAGCGAATTCACACGCGAGGTTGTTAAGAAATTTCTGCCCAAGTAAGTTTTCTTGAATTTGAGGTAAATGCCTTCAAAGCAATTTTATCCATTTAAAGATTTTATAATCTAACCAAATGCAGAGAAGTTATCATAAAAACATACTGCTCATTACACATGCAGGAAGTGCAGATTTGATGATTTGATACCGGCAGCACTAAAACATGGAATCCGGAATCCGGAAACGGAAACGGAATACGGAATCCGTGAAAGAAGGTTCCAAGCGATCGATTTGAAAAAAATTATATTAGCAATGACAATAAAATAAATAAACAGATAAAAAAGACATAAATGAATAATTGACGAGATCAAGCAAAACTAACTAGGAGAGAATGACAATTTGACTAACAGTAGACGACTGTTTAACTGTGACAACAGACGGATCGAAACGCACCAAGTCTTCATAGCCAATAACATCACGGCTTAACTGACAGACGACCAATAACATCACGACGTAATTGACCAATCAAATCAATAACCAGAGTATAATACCATCAACTGACGTGATACAACTCACTTTGACTCTGAAGATGACTACCGCACAGGTTGTCGAAATGTCAGTCACTGTCAACAACAACAGTCCTATTCAGGACTACGTTCACCCGGACGATCAAACTTAACCTACTTTTGAAATGACTCCTGGGTTCAAACCTTTCACAATAAATGAATAAATTAGCTGAGTAGAGGAGAGTACTGTGTGTACCACTAGAGGAGTCGATTCCGGTGAAAAGACTCTTGATACCATTTCCGCCAATGAATGCAAATTCTCATGGGACAGCAAATAAAAAGGAGAAAAACGTCACTGACAAAAACTGGTTCCTTAAGAAAAAGGTAAGTTACATGGAGACAGACTTCCTTTAAATCGACAGAGGCGTCGTTTATATAACTGAAAGGCGTCGCCGTCAAGTTTTTCCTGAGTGTCTTTTCTGGGTTGTCTTCAACAGTGTTCACTTTTATTTATCAATACACTTTACTCAAGAGAACCATGGCATTGTGGATTCCAAAGAGAAGAGAGAATTGTGCATGCATTCGCTTGATTCCGCAACTGATTACATCAAAATAATGCGCCATGTTTAATAAGCCTCCTCAACAACAATACGGACGTCAACGTAAACCAGAAACTCGTAAGGGGTTGTTCAACCCCCTATATGATTTTCTGCGTAAACTCAATTACCGGTACACCAGTATTCCATCAGTATTTAGCTTGGCGAAAAAGTTGAACTTATTGCTAAAACACCGAACTGTGGTCACGTCACGGTTCGGTCATGTGTTGAGTGATTCAGTTTCGGGACAATCACGTGGTGTGATCTGAGGCCAACTACTACTATTCTTGACATTTAGCTACAAAAGTAATTTTTAACTGTATCATTCAACCCACAAACTCGTGAACAAAAATTACTCGTAAAATTACTTTCATCGGCCTTGCAGTACAATAACCCATACTACGGCAAACCTTATCAAGACACAATAACAAGAGTATATTTAAGGGAACTGCCAAGAAAACTAAAACAATGCAATGTGAAATCCTTTAATTTTCTATCATTGATAATGGATTCCGTCTTCCGTTTCCGTTTTTGTTTCCGTGATTCCGTTTCCGTTTCCAGATTCCGGATTCCGGATTCCATGTTTTAGTGCTGCCGTCGAAGACAATGGAAGAGGGCGTGCGCAGGGTTGGCAAGAATTCGGATTGAGTTAATAACTTTTAGTCTCAAAAAAGGTAAGACTTTATTTGGCAATCAGACAATACCGTCGCAGTTAGTGTTAAGTATATCCACGGTGCTGATAAGACAAGATTTTAAATTTTACCTGCCTTTTAAACGCGGCACGTTGTTTGGATAAATCACTTTAAGGCTGAAATAGACATTTTAGCAACATTTACCCAATTTAATAATTCTACTAAAAAAAATGATCGGACAGTTAATGGAGCTCTGTACAATGGGGCGTAGAAAGTGCACAAAATAACAACTAGACGCGGTACGGGTAACTCATGCCACTTTAGAAATGTCCGTTGTTACCTAATAATTACATCTACATAAGCAAAGCAATACGCTAAGCTTGAATGTACAAACAAGGGTTGAACATTTTGTTGACTCAAGCACGCAAAGTCACAGTAAAGGAATAAAACAGTGATAGTGCTGTAGCTGCGCGCTTACAATAACTAGGACACGAACTCATGGATAAGAACGATTACAATTATGAGATATAAGTTTAACAATAAATTGACCGAGCCTCTAAGACAGCATTCATGTCGAAGCCTCTACAACAGTCGCTTAATCTTTGCAAATTAGCAACTTCAAAGCAGACACTGAAAGACTAACCTGTATATACACGCGCAAATCATTTAACAGAAAGAAAGACGATGGGCTCAGAAAAAGCAAACGACGGGAGGAAATTGAAAGCGAAAAAGGAAGTAGTCAGGGTTTTAGAAAAGGGAGGATAACATCATTGTTAGGAAGAATTAGTCACGTCAGGATTCTAGATCACGCAATCGATAATAAATTTTACACAAGGAAATCATCACAACTTT